TTTTCACGTGAAACCTTTGTTTCCTCAGGCCTTGTTTGCTATGATCATTTAGTTCTCCCTAATCACGTCTTGAATTATACTCTTAACCCTTTCACACCTCACACTTTTATTTCTTATTTTCTTCCATATTTACAAGATATTCCTTTGACCCGCAGATAGCAAATGCTAATCGAGGCGGTCAAATTTGTTTATTTATTTTATAAAATTTTTTCTTTACTGACTTAATTTAATTACACTGAAAAATAAAACGGAAATGAATAAATATAACATAAAAGGGCAAAAAGATACGCAAGAAAAGAAAAAAAAATGGCAGATGTTGATTGTAAAGGAGAAAAAGTCCTAGCGTTTCTAAGTGTACGAAAAATATTGTAGAACTGGTTGAATTTGATTCAATTTTGCTGTGTTTGAATTTTAGCATTATCTCATCAGGCTCCAGATGTTACGTGTTCCTCAGGAAGGACCATCTGAGCCGAGAATGCAAAGCTTATGTGGAATGTTTCCCATGTGGTGGCCGTCATCATGTCAGCTTCCGTGAGAGCAAGGGAACAATGTGGGAAACCCGAGCAAAGGGAGAATGTACACCCTGAAGATCAGCCAAAGCCTGATCACTCCCAAGTAACCATGTTGATTAGTTCTGCCACACCAATACTTCTACAGACAGCTCAAGCCATTATTTATTAGTAGGGATCTAAAGAGGAAGGTGTAAAGGCTAGAATAATTCTTGACAGAACTTGGGTCACAAGACGAGAAGGTGCAGACTTGTGATGTTGTTTACTTGGTGTTGAACTACCTGATGGAACAGATACGAAGTTGTCAGCCTATTCTGTACCACTTATCTGTGAGCCATTTACTGGTCAGTCAGTAGCCCCGGTAAGGAACATGTACAAGCACCTCAATGGAATTCACCTTGACGATTACTCAAAAGGAGCAGAGGCAGCAGAAGGGGACATACTAATTGGATCAGATCAATACTGGCAAATCGTGACAGGGGAAGTAAGAAGAGGAGAAAGTGGTCCAACAGCTTTACATACAAGGATGAGTTGGGTTTTATCTGGACCAATAGAGAGCTCAATGCGTGACTATGACCCATCTGTTAACTTGGTTTCCAGCATCCATGTTCTTAAGTTCAAAATAAAAATCGGATAAGTTTCATTGTTTAGAAACTAAGCGTTTTAGTTGCCTGCCGACGTGATACAACCTTACTTTTGTAAGAATCAAACTGTTTTCTCGATGAAATAACTTTTCAAAGGTAACATATGGCTAAGTTTCAACTATCTTTTACTGAAGGTTCTAGGTAAAATTTTGATTCTTGGCACAAAGGAATAGGTCCATCCACAGATCTTCCAAGTTTCCTATTTCGAAACTCTCGGAACAAAGGGCTCATCTAAGGCCATGTAGGTGGTTTGTTGTGTCTGTGTAAAAGCTGTAACTAGTTTGTCACGAGGGTTTGAATAATGAATTTAGCTTTACGTCCCGAAAAGTGACCTTAGGTAAAATTAAGATCATATTCTAATTGTAAATGAATTGAAAAGAAGGTGATCTGTTGCGCGTGGATTGTTGAAATTCAATTAGTTACCTAAAATCATCCCGTTGCAATAATTTTGCTTGAATATCATCACGTTTATGTTAAATGAAAAGATATTTCCATACCATTAAGAAACGTTCTGGATGATAAATATACTTTAACGGTTTTCTTCTGATCGTGAATTGATATAAGAGCTTCTAGGACCAGGTACGGGTTGATAATTTTTTTTCCTTGACCGTTTCAATTCCCCATTTTTAATTAAGAAAAATTTTCATCTACAAACAAACGTTATTCACAGTAAATGGCAACTCCAAGATCGAGATAACACCGGAGATATTCGGTTACTAAGTTGGGGTAAATTTTTCTCTGTTCAAGGCGGCCTGAAGCGACATTTGAACGTTGGGATCATGTATTGTTAAAACCAGATATTTTCTATATTTTTGTAAATTAATGTTAAGAGGAAGGGAAGATCGTTTCACGGATAGCACGAGAGCTTGAGAAATATTTACGATAGGACTCGAGTTGAATTCAAAAGATCACTTTCGATCCGTCATATTGGCGGGCAAGTATGGGCAGACCAAGTGCACTTTCCCATTTTTTTGCCAAGCAAAAATAACTGGAGCTTTTTAATATCCATTTCGTGATTAGGACCCTAAAGGAGGACTTTATGCCAAATCTCAGCCAAATCGATGAAATGAAGTGGCCGACGAAAGCTCGAAAGTTAGACTATCGCGCTTAAGAGGTTATTCGTATTCGTCGAGGCGTAGCATTGAAAAATAAGGACATTTGATTCACATCAGTCAATAACCACTACAAATAATGGGCATTATTCAGACTTCCTCATGCACGGAGGATTTTTTTATGGTTTTTGACGTGATTTTTCGTCTTTGTGAGCGAAATAAAAAGGTATTGATACTTAAACTTCCTTCTTAAAAACGTCACTCTTTCGATTTCTAGCTATTATCTAGAAACTTCTTGCAAAAACAGAGTTCCAATCGAAAAGGTTTCCTTAAGTCGATCACCAACGAGTGCTGTTATTACAGCCAAATTTCCCTGAAAATAATTGTTTTTCCAGAAAAAAGTAAAGGCCGCCGATCAGTATAAACGACGATGCAACTTAGGTCAATAAGTATTCAATTACGGAACGTGACTTGGATATGAATCGTGCAATTTGGAATCACGCGCGCCTGAGGTGTATTGCTACAAAATGCCTCGTGGTTTCATTTCCGTAAACCGACGTATGTTTTGGCCTATTAAAAGGGTAAATATTTAACAGACAATACTTATTAATAGCTCTAGAAGGCGAAACAAGATAACAGTTGTTTCACTTCCTCACGCAGAGGCAAGCTCTTCAAATAACTCTTCTTGACGCCCTGAAGATATCGCTTATTTTACTCAGGCATTCTACGGCTTCGAAAATGACGAATCATTCTGAGGAGCAAGAAAACTCAAGGTTGTCAAGGAGCAGAGAAATTGTTTGTTTCCTGATTGCAGCCCTTGGTTATATTTTAATCGTAACAAGCCTCGTTCTCTTCACATTCGCTTTTTTTGTGTTGTTTACTGAAAACCAAAACTTAGCCATTAGAAGTGCAACCACTGCCACAGTGATGTTGATTTTTGGAATTATTTTGGTATTGTTAGCACATATACACCTCAAAAGAGGATCAAAAACTTCTGCCGTCCAAGTTGTAATATCTACGATTCCTGCGGAAGATTTGACAAAATCTCCGGTCCCTACACTTTCGTATTACCATACTCCTCGCCGTCAGCCATTCGTTGGGGCCTCTTCGATAGATTTGCCGGATTATTTTACTGCTGTCCAGGATTCAAATGAAGTTTATTCATCTGTGAACGTTGGAGTTTGTACAGATGATTTTTCGGAGCCGTTCGCTCCACCACCAAGTTACGATGAAGCACTTAAAATGGCCTCCATAACTAGTCAAGAAAACAAGCTACATTCCTTGTCGCAATCTGGAGACGGAGAAAACACAAAACTCTGAAGATTTTTCAAGTAAACAATTTGGAAGAGTTACACCCGGAACTACCACGCTAGACGATGTGAGACAGGAAAAAAGCTGTGATCAAACTTATAAACTATTCTGTAACTACGAAACACCACATGCTACCGCGCGAGTTATAATTTAAAAACATGCATAGACACGTTTGGACAGCGCGAAAGTTCTTCGTGAAATGGTTTTCAGTATATCTAATTTTATTGCTCAGTAATCTTCAGCAATTTTCCAAACAAGATGAGATTAAAACGAAGGCTTTGCTGATAAAAAATTAGAGTGAAAACAACTGCTTTAGGCGTTACGCTTTGCATTGTTATGATAGATAACACAAGAACACTGAATAGAATTTTAACTCCAGAGGTCATTAAAAGTCATTTTATTGTGATGTAATGTGTTTAAAGCGCCTGAGGGTATTTGAGCTTATTAGGAGTGAGTTCAGCGTGACCACATTCGCATTGAAATATTTTCATAGTTTAGGATCTGTATTAGCTGTTCGAAGCAACATAACACGATGTTGCGCGTTTGCTTTTTGGGTATCCCGTAGGAAAAAGTTTCTTTTAGAGCTTCCTCCATCATTTTCAAATGATGTAATTCTATTTGATTGAAGCTCTATACGTCACAATATATAGACTATTATTGAAGACTTAAATAATTTTTTGCACGTGAAACCTTTATTTCCTTTATTTAGTTCCCTCTGATCACGTCTTGAATTATACTCTTAACCCTTTCACACTTCACACTTTTATTTCTTATTTTCTTCCATATTTACAAGATAATCCTTTGACCCGCAGATAGCAAATGCTAATCGAGGCGGTCAAATTTGTTTATTTATTTGATAAAATTTTTTTCTTTACTGACTTAATTTAATTACACTGAAAAATAAAACGGAAATGAATAAATATAACATAAAGGGAAAAAAGGTAAGCAAAAAAAGAAAAAAAATGGCAGATGTTGATTGTAAAGGAGAAAAAGTCCTAGCGTTTCTAAGTGCACGAAAAATATTGCAGAACTGGTTGAATTTGATTCAATTTTGCTGTGTTTGAATTTTAGCGTTATCTCATCAGGCTCCAGATATTACGTGTTCCTCAAGAAGGACCATCTGAGCCGAGAATGCAAAGCTAATGTGGAATGTTTCCCATGTGGTGGCCGTCATCATGTCAGCATCTGTGAGAGCAACCTGATGAAAACTGGAACAAGTGAACAATGTGCGAAACCCGAGCAGAAAACCCGGGGAGAATGTACACCCAGATGATCAGCCAAAGCCCGATCACTCCCAAGTAACCATGTTCATTAGTTCTTCCATACTAATCCTTCTACAGACAGCTCAAGCCATTATTTGTAAGTAGGGATCTAAAGAGGAAGGTGTGGAGGCTAGAATAATTCTTGACAGTGGGAGTCAGAGATCGTACATCACAAACCGTTTGAAGGATGAGCTAAGTTTACCAGCTGAATGTCAAGAGACAATGCTAATCAAAACCTTTGGGTCACAAGACGAGAAGGTGCAGACTTGTGATGCTGTTTACTTTGGTGTTTAACTACCTGATGGAACAGATATGAAGTTGTCAGCCTATTCTGTACCACTTATCTGTGAGCCATTTACTGGTCAGTCAGTAGCCCTGGCGAGGAACATGTACAAGCACCTCAATGGAATTCACCTTGACGATTACTCAAAAGGAGCAGAGGCAGCAGAAGCGGACATACTAATTGGATCAGATCAATACTGGCAAATCGTGACAGGGGAAGTAAGAAGAGGAGAAAGTGGTCCAACAGCTTTACATACAAGGATGGGTTGGGTTTTATCTGGACCAATAGAGAGCTCAATGCGTGACTATGACCCATCTGTTAACTTGGTTTCCAGCATCCATGTTCATAAGTTCAAAATAAAAATCGGATAAGTTTCATTGTTTAGAAACTAAGCGTTTCAGTTGCCTGCCGACGTGATACAACCTTACTTTTGTAAGAATCAAATTGTTTTCTCGATGAAAGAACTTTTCAAAGGTAAACCTAAGTTTTAACTATCTTTTACTGAAGGTTCTAGGTAAAATTTTGATACTTGGTACAAAGGAATAAGTCCATCCACAGATCTTCCAAGTTTCCTATTTGGAAACTCTCGGAACAAAGGGCTCATCTAAGGCCATGTAGGTGGTTTGTTGTGTCTGTGTAAAAGCTGTAACTAGTTGTCACAAGGGTTTGAATAATGAATTTAGCTTTACGTCCCGAAAAGTGACCTTAAGTAAAATTAAGATCATATTCTAATTGAAAATGAATTGAAAAGAAGGTGATCTGTTGCGCGTGGATTGTTGAAATTCAATTAGTTACCTAAAATCATCCCGTTGCAATAATTTTGCTTGAATATCATCACGTTTATGTTAAATGAAAAGATATTTCCATACCATTAAGAAACGTTCTGGATGATAAATATACTTTAACGGTTTTCTTCTGATCGTGAATTGATATAAGAGCTTCTAGGACCAGGTACGGGTTGATAATTTTTTTTCCTTGACCGTTTCAATTCCCCCATTTTTTAATTAAGAAAATCTTTTCATCTACAAACAAACGTTATTCACAGTAAATGGCAACTCCAAGATCGAGATAACACCGGAGATATTCGGTTACTAAGTTGGGGTAAATTTTTCTCTGTTCAAGGCGGCCTGAAGCGACATTTGAACGTTGGGATCATGTATTGTTAAAACCAGATATTTTCTATATTTTTGTAAATGCAGGCTCACACACAAACAATCAAAAGCTAAATGGTGAACTTTCACTCTATGAGCATTAAGCCTGATTTTCTCCACGATTACAAATCGATTAGGAAATGTACCATCGTACAATACTTTACGTTAGTTCTTTTGTGTAACCAAATAGAAAGGAACTAATTAAAACCAGTACCAGTATCCAACCGACTGCGCCCTCCCCTTACCCGCAACAACAGTCAACTGATAATAATTGAGGATTATTGATAGGTTAGGGGAGGGGTAGGTGCCCAGTTGCTACGATACTGACTTTGATCCGAAGAATGCCATATAGATATTTCCATACCATTAAGAAACTTTCTGGATGATAAATATACTTTAACCGTTTTCTTCTGATCGTGAATTGATATAAAAGCTTCTAGGACCAGGTACGGGTTGATAATTTTTTTCCTTGACCGTTTCACTTCCTCCACTTTTTAATTTAGAAAATCTCTTCATCTACAAACAAACGTTATTCACAGTAAATGGCAACTCCTGGATCGAGGTAACACCGGATATATTCGGTTACTAAGTTGGGGTAAATTTTTCTCTGTTCAAGGCGGCCTGAAGCGACATTTGAACGTTGGGATCATGTATTGTTAAAACCAGATATTTTCTATATTTTTGTAAATTAATGTTAAGAGGAAGGGAAGATCGTTTCACGGATAGCACGAGAGCTTGAGAAATATTTACGATAGGACTCGAGTTGAATTCAAAAGATCACTTTCGATCCGTCATATTGGCGGGCAAGTATGGGCAGACCAAGTGCACTTTCCCGTTTTTTTGCCAAGCAAAAATAACTGGAGCTTTTTAATATCCATTTCGTGATTAGGACCCTAAAGGAAGACTTTATGCCAAATCTCAGCCATATCGATGAAATGAAGTGGCCGACGAAAGCTCGAAAGTTAGACTATCGCGCTTAAGAGGTTATTCGTATTCGTCGAGGCGTAGCATTGAAAAATAAGGAGATTAGATTCACATCAATCAATAACCACTCCAAATAATGGCCATTATTCAGACTTCCTCGTGCACGGAGGATTTTGTTATGATTTTTGACGTGATTTGAGTAACAGCCGAAAGCCACTTTAAAAACATTTTCAAACCACAACAATGCCCTCTTAGCCGTTTTTTGGTCTTTGTGAGCGAAATAAAAAGGTATTGACACTTAAACTCCCTTCTTAAAAACGTCACTCTTTCGGTTTCTAGCTATTATCTGGAAACTTCTTGCGAAAACAGAGTTCCAATTGAGCTTTCCTTAAGTCGATCACCAACGAGTGCTTTTATTACAGCCAAATTTCCCTGAAAATAATTGTTTTTCCAGAAGAAAGTGAAGGCCGCCGATCAGTATGAACGACGATGCAACTTACGTCAATAAGTATTCAATTACGGAACGTGACTTGGATATGAATCGTGCAATTTGGAATCACGCACGCCTGAGGTGTATTGCTACAAAATGCCCAGTAGTTTCACTTCCGTTAACCGACGCATGTTTGGGCCTATTAACGTGGGTAAATATTTAACAGACAATACTTATTAATAGCTCTAGAAGGCGAGACAAGATAACAGTTGTTTCACTTCCTCACGCAGAGGCAAGCTCTTGAAAGAACTCTTCTTTACCCCCTGAAGATATCGCTCATTTTACTCAGGTATTCTACGGCTTCGAAAATGACGAATCATTCTGAGGAGCAAGAAAACTCAAGGTTGTCAAGGAGCAGAGAAATTGTTTGCTACCTGATTGCAGCCCTTGGTTATGTTTTAATCGTAACAAGCCTCGTTCTCTTCACATTCGCTATTTTTGTGTTGTTTACTGAAAACTCAAACTTAGCCATTAGAAACGCAACCACTGCCTCAGTGATGTTGATTTTTGGAATTATTTTGGTATTGTTAGTACATATACACCTCAAAAGAGGATCAAAAACTACTGCCGTCCAAGTTGTAATATCTACGATTCCTGCGGAAGATTTGACAAAATCTCCGGTCCCTACACTTTCGTATTACCATACTCCTCGCCGTCAGCCATTCGTTGGGGCCTCTTCAATAGATTTGCCGGATTATTTTACTGCTATCCAGGATTCAAATGAAGTTTATTCATCTGTGAACGCTGGAGTTTGTACAGATGATTTCTCGGAGCCGTTCGCTCCACCACCAAGTTACGAAGAAGCACTTAAAATGGCCTCCATAACTAGTCAAGAAAACAAGCTACATTCCTTGTCCCAATCTGGAGACGGAGAAAACACAAAACTCTGAAGATTTTTCAAGTAAACAATTTGGAAGAGTTACACCCGGAACTACCACGCTAGACGATGTGAGACAGGAAAAAAGCTGTGATCAAACTTATAAACTATTCTGTAACTACGAAACACCACATGCTACCGCGCGAGTTATAAGTTAAGGACATGCATAGACACGTTTGGACAGCGAGAAAGTTCTTCGTGAAATGGTTTGCGGTATATCTAAGTTTATTGCTCAGTAATCTTCAGCAATTTTCCAAACAAGATGAGATTAAAACGAAAGCTTTGCTGATAAAAAATATAGAGTGAAAACAACTGATCTAGGTATCACGTTTTGCATTGTTATGATCACAAGAACACTGAATAGAAGTTTAACCCCCGCGGTCATTAAAAGTCATTTTATCCTTATGTAATGTGTTTAAAGCACCTGAGGGTATTTGAGCTTATTAGGATTGAGTTCAACGTGACCACATTTGCATTGAAATATTTTCGATGTTTAGGATCTGTATTGGCTGTTCGAAGTAACATAACACGATGTTGCGCGTTTGCTTTTTGGGTATCCCGTAGGAAAAAGTTTCTTTTAGAGCTTCCTCCATCATTTTCAAATGATGTAATTCTATTTGATTGAAGCTCTATACGTCACAATATATTGACTAATATTGCCCAAAACAGAGCTTTTCAAAATGTTTTACAGAGTGGATAAAAGGTGGCTTTATGATCTCTTGTGGATGAGAAACTAATTGAGAACAGAACTTTCTAAAAATGCTAACGTCACCGCACGTTATAGCTTCAATATTTCGGAAGTGTTCTGAAACTCTAATGATTCGGCCGGAGCATTTCTTAAAGTCTTCTAAAATCATGAAAAGTATACCTTTGCAGCTACATTTGTAGAACTTTGACAGAAACACTGCAACATACTTTTCGAAGGCACTCAAGCACTTGACTCAAATATTTTCCGCACAGATTCATGTGCTCTTTACGTTTTGTTTAGTAGTAGCGCCTAAGGATGGCACGGGCCAGAATGATTTCTGTTAGAATTTGTGAGCGTGACTAAGCGTGACTAGGCGTGACGCATTGATGTACGCGCGCCTAGCCTTATGGGCTGTGCGACCTCGCGCTTCCGTCTTCTTTGAAAGGAATCTTGGCTTTTGTTGTGTTTGTAAGTACAGTCCCGAGTTGTAAGATTAAAATGTTCATATTGGAACCTTGAGTGGACCTAAAATAACTTTCTAACATTGGTCCTTCGAGCCGGATGCGAACTAGATGAAATCCTGAAATCTTGAAATCCTGAAAACCTTCGAAGGGGAGATATTCTGCTCTCGACTACTCTACGGCGGGCGGGAAAAAGAACGGAAGGAAGAGTACATCACAAGTGTCTGTCAAGTCTTTAAGCAACGTCAAGTCTACAAGCGACGAAACCTCAACAATTTCTTGGGAACTGACAAAGAAAAAAGGCTTCAGAGCTGGACATCGAAATTCCGCCGAGAGGAAATTGGAGAGTGCGAATGAAATTCCTAATTCTTTGGGTAACGACACATCGAGTGTTTCAAAACAACGGGCAACACTAATCTTCTACAAGTCCTCTCTAAAGGAAAAGTTGGACGTTATCCAGGGACTGGATAAAAAGATTCTCGATTTATCAATGGAGGAAGAAATTGACAGCGAAATTGAAGAAACTGATCAATTCTGCAGTCACGTAGAATTGGTTCTTGCTGGATTAGATAAAGCGCTGCCCGCCATTTCTCCAAAAATAGAAGCCAGCACTCACATGTCAGGAGCCGACGAACGAGCCTACGCAGTCGGTAAGCCATGTAAATATTCGTTCTAATGACTCACCTCAAAGTCAAGCGCATGATGTAGGCTCTCAAATTAAACTCCCAAAGTTAGTCTTAAAGAAATTCAATGGAGATATTACTGGGTGGTGTTCATTCTCGGACACATTTGAGGCAGCAATATATACATAAGAACTCTAAGCTAGCGGCTATTGACGAGTTCAATTATCTCAACTCTCTCCTGGACAAAACCGCTTCGGAGGCAATTGCAGGTCTTGCTATTACGAAGGCAAATTATGAAGAGGCCATTGCTATTTTGAAGACCAGACTTTGGCAACAAACAGATGATTGTAAACAAACACATGGATGACCTCATCAACATGGCACCTGTTTATTCTAATCATGGCCTAAGGGGCTTGAGACAGCTCTATGACTTGGTGGAGGTTCATGTACGGGGTGTTAAGGCTCTTGAAGTACCATCAGAATCCTATGGTAGCTTGCTTCATCTGTTTTGATGAACAAGGTACCACAAGAGGTACGTTTGATCGTTAGCAGAGAGGACAAGGGAGGAGACTGGGAATTAGATTAGTTATGCATCAAGAATTGGATGCAAGGAAGAGAGCTGCGTGCGCAGGGAAATTACAATCCACAGCCAGACCAACCATTCTGAAGGAACAAACCGCATTGGAAAGGCCCACCCTCTGCCTCATCACTATTCTCTAAGTCAGATAGCCAGTCAACTTGTACCTATTGCAAACAGCCTCATTCATCTAATAGCTGTGAGACCGTTTCTAATGCACAAGCCCGTAAGGATATTCTTGAGAAGACCGGAAGATGTTATGTTTACCTCAAGAAGGACTACCTGAGCCGAGAATGCAAAGCTAATGTGAAATGTTTCACATGTGGTAGCGGTCATTATGTCAGCATCTGTGAGAGCAACCTGATGAAAACTAGAACAAGGGAACAATGTGCGAAACCCGAGCAAAGGGAGAATGTACACCCAGAAGATCAGCCAAAGCCCGATCACTCCCAAGTAACCATGTTGATTAGTTCTGCCATACCAATTCTTCTACAGACAGCTCAAGCCATTATTTATCAGTAGGGATCTTAAAAGGAAGGTGTGGAGGCTAGAATAATTCTTGACGGTGTGAGTCCGAGATCGTACATCACAAACCGTTTGAAGGATGAGCTAAGTTTACCAGCTGAATGTCAAGAGACAATGTTAATCAAAATCTTTGGGTCACAAGACGAGAAGGTGCAGACTTGTGATGCTGTTTACTTTGGTGTTTAACTACCTGATGGAACAGATATGAAGTTGTCAGCCTATTCTGTACCACTTATCTGTGAGCCATTTACTGGTCAGTCAGTAGCCCTGGCGAGGAACATGTACAAGCACCTCAATGGTATTCACCTTGACGATTACTCAAAAGGAGCAGAGGCAGCAGAAGGGGACATACTAATTGGATCAGATCAATACTGGCAAACGTAACAGGGGAAGTAAGAAGAGGAGAAAGTGGTCCAACAGCTTTACATACAAGGATGGGTTGGGTTTTATCTGGACCAATAGAGAGTTCAATGCATGACTGTGACCCATCTGTTAACTTGGTTTCCAGCATCCATGTTCATAAGTTCAAAATAAAAATCGGATAAGTTTCATTGTTTAGAAACTAAGCGTTTCAGTTGCCTGCCGACGTGATACAACCTTACTTTTGTAAGAATCAAATTGTTTTCTCGATGAAATAACTTTTCAAAGGTAAAGCTAAGTTTCAACTATCTTTTACTGAAGGTTCTAGGTAAAATTTTGATTCTTGGCACAAAGGAATAGGTCCATCCACAGATCTTCCAAGTTTCCTATTTGGAAACTCTCGGAACAAAGGGCTCATCTAAGGCCATGTAGGTGGTTTGTTGTGTCTGTGTAAAAGCTGTAACTAGTTTGTCACGAGGGTTTGAATAATGAATTTAGCTTTACGTCCCGAAAAGTGACCTTAGGTAAAATTAAGATCATATTCTAATTGTAAATGAATTTAAAAGAAGGTGATCTGTTGCGCGTGGATTGTTGAAATTCAATTAGTTACCTAAAATCATCCCGTTGCAATAATTTTGCTTGAATATCATCACGTTTATGCTAAATGAAAAGATATTTCCATACCATTAAGAAACGTTCTGGATGATAAATATACTTTAACGGTTTTCTTCTGATCGTGAATTGTTATAAGAGCTTCTAGGACCAGGTACGGGTTGATAATTTTTTTTCCTTGACCGTTTCAATTCCTCCATTTTTTAATTAAGAAAATCTTTTCATCTACAAACAAACGTTATTCACAGTAAATGGCAACTCCAAGATCGAGATAACACCGGAGATATTCGGTTACTAAGTTGGGGTAAATTTTTCTCTGTTCAAGGCGGCCTGAAGCGACATTTGAACGTTGGGATCATATATTGTTAAAACCAGATATTTTCTATATTTTTGTAAATTAATGTTAAGATGAAGGGAAGATCGTTTCACGGATAGCACGAGAGCTTGAGAAATATTTACGATAGGACTCGAGTTGCACTCAAAAGATCACTTTCGATCCGTCATACTGGCGGGCAAGTATGGGCAGACCAAGTGCACTTTCCCGTTTTTTGCCAAGCAAAAATAACTGGAGCTTTTTAATATCCATTTCGTGATTAGGACCCTAACTTGAGGAGGACTTTATGCCAAATCTCAGCCAAATCGATGAAATGAAGTGGCCGACGAAAGCTCGACTGAAAGTTACAGACTATCGCGCTTAAGAGGTTATTCGTATTCGTCGAGGCGTAGCATTGAAAAATAAGGACATTTTATTCACATCAGTCAATAACCACTCCAAATAATGGGCCTTATTCAGACTTCCTCATGCACGGAGGATTTTTTCATGGTTTTTGACGTGATTTGAGTAACAGCTGAAAGCCACTTTAAAAACATTTTTCAAATCACAGCATGCCTTCTTAGCCGTTTTTTCGTCTTTGTGAGCGAAATAAAAGGTATTGATACTTAAACTTCCTTCTTAAAAACGTCACTCTTTCGGCTTCTAGCTATTATCTGGAAACTTCTTGCAAAAAGAGAGTTCCAATTGAAAAGGTTTCCTTAAGTCGATCACCAACGAGTGCTTTTATTACAGCCAAATTTCCCTGAAAATAATTGTTTTTCCAGAAGAACGTAAAGGCCGCCGATCAGTATAAACGACGATGCAACTTACGTCAATAAGTATTCAATTACGGAACATGACTTGGATATGAATCGTGCAATTTGGAATCACGCGCGCCTGAGGTGTATTGCTACAAAATGCCCAGTAGTTTCACTTCCGTTAACCGACGCATGTTTTGGCCTATTAACGTGGGTAAATATTTAACAGACAATACTTATTAATAGCTCTAGAAGGCGAGACAAGATCACAGTTGTTTCACTTCCTTCCGCAGAGGCAAGCTCTTGAAAGAACTCTTCTTTACTCCCTGAAGATATCGCTTATTTTACTTAGGCATTCTACGGCTTCGAAAATGACGAATCATTCTGAGGAGCAAGAAAACTCAAGGTTGTCAAGGAGCAAAGCGGGTGTTTGTTTCCTGATTGCAGCCCTTGGTTATATTTTAATCGCAACAAGCCTCCTTCTCTTCATCTTCGCTATTTTTGTGTTGTTTACTGAAAACTCAAACTCAGCCATTAGAAATGCAACTACTGCCACGGTAATGTTGATTTTTGGAATGATTTTGGTATTGTTAGCACGTATACACCTCAAAAGAGGATCAAAAACTTCTACCGTCCAAGTTGTAATATCTACGATTCCTGCGGAAGATTTGACAAAATCTCCGGTTCCTACACTTCCGTATTACCATACTCCTCGCCGTCAGCCATTCGATGTGGCCTCTTCGATAGATTTGCCAGATTATTTTACTGCTGTCCAGGATTCAAATGAAGTTTATTCATCTGTGAACGCTGGAGTTTGTACAGATGATTTTTCGGAGCCGTTCGCTCCACCACCATGTTACGAAGAAGCACTCAAAATGGCCTCCAAAACTAGTCAAGAAAACAAGCTACATTCCTTGTCGCAATCTGGAGACGGAGAAAACCCAAAACTCTGAAGATTTTTCAAGTAAACAATTTGGAAGAGTTACACCCGGAACCACCACGCTAGACGATGTGAGACAGGAGAAAAGCTGTGATCAAACCTATAAACTATTCTGTAACTACGAAACACCATATGCTACTGCGCGAGTTATAATTTAAAAACATGCATAGACACGTTTGGACAGCGCGTAAGTTCTTCGTGAAATGGTATATCTAATTTTATTGCTCAGTAATCTTCAGCAATTTTCCAAACAAGATGAGATTAAAACGAAAGCTTTGCTGATAAAAAATATAGAGTGAAAACAACTGATATAGGTATCACGTTTTGCATTGTTATGATCACAAGAACACTGAATAGAAGTTTAACCCCCGCGGTCATTAAAAGTCATTTTATCCTTATGTAATGTGTTTAAAGCACCTGAGGGTATTTGAGCTTATTAGGATTGAGTTCAGCGTAACCACATTTGCATTGAAATATTTTCGATTTTTAGGATCTGTATTGGCTGTTCGAAGCAACATAACACGATGTTGCGCGTTTGCTTTTTGGGTATCCCGTAGGAAAAAGTTTCTTTTAGAGCTTCCTCCATCATTTTTAAATGATGTAATGCTATTTGATTGAAGCTCTATACGTCACAATATATTGACTAATATTGGAGACTTAGATAATTTTTTGCACGTGAAACCTTTATTTCCTCAGGCCTTGTTTGCTATGATCATTTAGTTCCCTCTGATCACGTCTTGAATTATGCTCTTAACCCTTTCACACTTCACACTTCACACTTTTCACTTCACACTTTTATTTTTTATTTTCTTTCATATTTACCAGATATTTCTTTAACCTGCAGATAGCAAATGGTAATCGAGGCGGGTCAAATTTGTTTATTTATTTGATATAATTTTTTTTTTTTACTGATTTAATTTAATTACACTGGAAAATAAAACGGAAATGAAGAAATATGACATAAAAGGGCAAAAAGATACGCAAAAAAAGAAAAAAGGAAAATGGCAGATGTTGATTGTAAAGGAGAAAAAGTCCCAGCGTTTCTAAGTGTACGAAAAATATTGTAGAACTGGTTCAATTTGATTCAATTTTGCTGTGTTTGAATTTTAGCATTATCTCATCAGGCTCCATACAAGAATCTTCGGTTTCTAGAATATTGAGAAGAGCTCTTTTTGTTTCTTTTTTGAAGGATTTCTTGACAAATTTTAGTATTCATTGAGTTTCTCATTCCAGACTGTGACACCAACGCACGAAAAGGCTTTTTTTGCATTTTAAGCCTAGAGTACTAAACGCTATAGAGTTGTGACGTTGATGAGCGAGTAGTACATGTATAGATGTTTGAAGTTCTCGCAAAAGGTTTCATGATATCAGAAGATGCACTGTCGTTATGGACATCGAGCATTCATTTACATTCAGCTTCATAATATAAGAAGGTAAAAGGCAGAATTTTCGCATTTACAAACAAGGGGATTGCATGATCGTTTCTATCAACAAAGTAGATTAGACGTAATACTCGCTTTTGGAGAACAACAATTTTGTTTAGATAGTTTTTAGACGTATTACCCCAAGCAACGAGTCCATAAGTTAAATAAGTCAAAATTATGGATTTATAAATATTTGTGAGTGCAGATGATG